AGCAGAAAAAAAAAGGCCAGAAGTGGTGCTGTGGCTCAAGTGGTAGAGCACTTGCCTTGAGCTGAAGTGCTGAGGGACAGCGCCCAGGCCCAGAGTTCAGGCCCCACGACCAAAAAAAAAAGAAAAAAAAAAAAGAAATGGTGGCAGGTTCAAGGCCCAATTATTTTTCAGACATTCCACAATAAGACTTTACTAGACAGGAATGATAAACCGTCTGAAGAGGGAGCCAGCTGAGATGAGAAGGGAAGGAAAGCATCTGGGCTAGAGCCTCTCTCTCTCTCTCTGCACTTTGGGTCTTTGAATTATAAGGATGAGACACTCACACAACCAAGTACAAAGTAAAATGCATTATTTTAAGGACTCCGAGAGACCAGGGCTCTGAGAGAGGCACAGGAGAGCCCAGGAGAGTTAGGAACCAAGCTGCTCTAGATAGCTCTTTTCCTTCTCTCTCCCTCCTTCTTCCTCTTCTTGCCCTTAGCTCACCTTGTCAGCCCTTCCTGCTGTGCTGAAATCAAACAGCTTCGAATTCATCGTTTAAGGTATTTATTTCCACAGCTTCATTTGCCAGGGAGATGGTGAACTTCTTGAAGGGAGAGCTTCAGATCAAAGATGATCTTAAGAGATCTTCAAGAATCTGTCTTATCTTACAGATGTGGAAACTGAGGCCCAGGGGGAGGAAATGTTAATGCATCATGGGGTCAGCCAGAACCTCAACATGCCTTCCATGTAGCTTGTTTCCAGAAATTGCCCTTGGTTTACTTAGTTTGAAATCTATCTATCTATCTATCTATCTATCTATCTATCTATCTATCTATCTATAGTTTTTGTGCTCTTTTCCTTGGCTTGTCTCTTAGTCTGCTTCTAGCCCTCCCCCTCTCCCCCCCACCTCTGACAGTAGGCTTGGGATCGCTTTGCACTCAGCTTTCAGCTGCTGATGGTCTTCACAGCTGTGCCGTGGAAGCTGATCTGAAGCATGGTGAAACTGAAGCTGTTTCTATCAAGCCACTATCTCTAGGCCAACATCAGTATAGCACAGACACCAGAGCCACAACTTCTTTCTGTTTGCAGAGTCTGCAGCGACCAAAATAACTGCCATCAAACAAGTCATCTAACTTCCACTGCTTCTGCTCCCAGACCAATGCACCACAACAGAGGCTTGGGCCAATGCTGACCTACTCCTAGCAGGAAGGCACAAGTGGCTCTGGTCTCCTCTTCTTCCCAGAAGTCTTCTCTGCCCATTGCAACTTCTTGGACACCCTTAGTTCACCTAAGTCCTCCTTCAACAGCTGTTTCCTGGGTGTCAGCTGGGTCTTACAGCTTCTGGAGGCAGCTAACTTCTCTCCCCAGCACCCTGCCATAAGTCTATGGGACTGGCTGGGGGCTAGCTCAGCAACATGATAAGGGTTCAAACCCCAGCACTGCACAATGAATGAATGAATGAATGAAAATATGTGGGGCCTGATGAAGGTAACTTTTTCCCTGGAGGGCCATGGGATAGCAGAGAGAAAAAAAATTGTTAGAAGGAGAAATATTTTCTTTGCCACTGTTCTAAGCAAACAGTTGCCTAAAGCAGAAAGAAATGTGCTGGTTTTCACTTCTTGGTGATGTGACAAGTCAGACAAAGGCCATTCCTGGCAACTCTAGTTAACCCAATGCCAGTATCATTTCCCCTAAAATGTTCTCTCCTTCTTCAGTTGATTAACTCTGCACCCTGAAGCTTTTCTGCCTCTAGCTTGCAGAGTGGGTGTATGACTGAGGATAATACAGGGAAGAAGGACTTCAATCTGAAGCCTCAAAACTTTCCTCCCAAGCTCTCCATTCCATCTTGCAAGACTCATCATTAGAGCTCACTCTGAAGAGTATTGAGAAAACCAGCAAAAATGTTAGCTGGGTGCCATATACCTATAATCCTAGCTACTCGGGAAGCTGAGACCTGAGGATAGAGGGTCAGAGCCAGCCTGGGAAAATAAATCGTATTTCCAAGTATCCAGGAAAAAGCTGCAACTGGAGGCATGGCTCAAGGGATGAAGTGCCAGCCTTGAGCATAAAAGCTAAACAAGAGTTCAAAGCCTTGAGTTCAAATCCCAGGACCTGCAACAAACAAACAAAAATAAAAACCAGTCAGGGATGTGAGAATATGTCTAAAGGGAGTAGGAGGTTAATGAAAGTGTCTTAGATGGGGAGAAAACAGAGAGCCAGGCTCTAATAACACAGTAAGCACGAAGCAAGTTTAATGAGCACCAATGCACAGCCAGAGAAGGCAGCCTTGGTGGGTGAGTTAGTATGGGAGTCTCTGACAGCAAAGTGGGGAAGGGGAGACCACAAATTCTCCCTAGCCAGCAGGGGAGGACATAGGGGATAAAGGCTAGAACTGGGTCAAGGTTCCTTGAAGACAAACAAAACTTCTATATGTGATTCCCTCTGTAAAACCTGAGCCTACCCCCCCCCCTCAAAAAAAAGCCATCCTCCGATCCTCACAGACCAGGAAGCCCTAGGAAAAGGAAGGAGACTTGAAGTACTTCCGTATGACAGATCTAGTGTAATAAATACATGGGCACCACAGGTTCTCCTAACGCTAAGAAGTGTTGTTCATTGCCTAAGGTCACAGAATAAGGAAGGATTTGAACCCAGGGGGTCAGACTGGCTGCTGTCCTTACTGCCTGCCCCCTCCCCAACACCTCCCTTCCAGGGGCCCTCTCCCCAGCAGAGAGCCAGGTGTTCTGTGTTCTCCATGGATGCTTTACATTCTGTAAGTAGCTCAGCCTCTCCTCACCTCTGCAATTTCAAGCAAAAGGAAAGCCAAGACCAGACAATTTCATTCTCATTTCCTTCGCAGGTGGCAGCCCTGTCACCTCATGCACAAAGCCAGCACTGACAGCAAGCAAGAAAATGGGAATTTGCTGAAATGATAGAACCCTGCATTATTAGTTAATATTCTGTAAGCCCAAGAAATCATCCAGATGTTAAAGCATAAAAATAACTCACTGTTGAGTCAATGAGGCATAACTGCCAGGAGGGACAAACCAGCGGGAAGAGTCAGGTGTGGGGAAATGTGTTCCTTTGGTCTGTGTGCATGTGGGGGTGGGGGACAGGACTGGGGCACCCACACAGCTGGCTTCAGTGCACTTTGCTTCTTACCAATTCTTGCCTGTCACTGGGCCTGTCCTCTTCCTCTAGAGGATCAGGCTGTGACATGGCGGGTGTGACACCCACCATGGCCTTTGGCACAAGAAACTCTTTACAGGATATGGCCTTGGGTGCTTCTGTGTTCACCAGGTTCATTTCATGTTTCAAGCTTAGAGGACAAGCTTTCCACACAAAACAAAATCCCACCATCCCTGCAGGTCCATCCCAAGCCCCACCCCCATCCTGGAGGCCATCCCAGTTTCCTTCACAACCTCTAGATATATTCTCTACTCAGCCTGCTTTCTAGACTGCCTTCCCCCCATCCCCACCCCCAGTGGCAACCTGGCCTTTTCTGTTCAACCAAAATATCTGGGAGCTTCGGGATCAACTCTTGTCTTATTCTTGTAGCCTGGCACCTGGAGCCTTAGTCAACTACATGTCCCTTCCAGCACCTTTATTAAAAAGCCTTCCTAGATATATCCCACCCCTGTCCACTCTCTATCTTAGTTGACTACTTCCCAGGTGTTCTACAGTAAGTACTTCATACTTGTCCCTGTGTTAAGTGTTCATCGTCCACCCTTTTATGGAATGTGGCCTTTAAGTGTTGACTTGTCCCCTCTCTTTTTAGAGCCTATGACCCTCTCACTTAACTGAGCTCCTACAGGGCACAAACCAAGGATCTTTCCTTTCTCTGCTTGACCAGATGTGCCTGGTCTGAGGAGAGTGCCCACCAAACCATAAAAGAATTCATTACTACCGGGGCTGGGAAGGTGGCTCAGTGGTAGAGTGCTTGCCTTGCATGCATGAGGCCCTGGGTTCGATTCCAGCATCACATAAGCAAAAAAAGAAAAGAAGAAAAAAGCCGCAAGTACAGCCCTAGTGTTGAGCTGAAGAGCTGAGGGACAGCGCCCAGGCCGAGAGTTCAGGCCCCAGGACCGGAGCCAAAAAAAAAAAAGAAAGAAAGAATTCATCACTGGTAGATTTCTGCAATGTTGTGTGTGTGTCAAAGCCTTCCCCTGGCCTCTGGCTGTAGGGCATACAGCGTCCCTTGTTTCTCCTAAAGACCTCTGTGCCTGCTTTTGCCAAAACAGTGGGGGTTTGGTAAAGCGATGACTGAATTAGCCAGAGCATCGAATTCTCTCAGCTACGATATCGCGGTCTTTAGCATGGCCAATGGAGAATTAATTGGTTGCAAAGTGCATATCTAATTACAACATCCCGCCCCAGCCACAGCGATGCTCAAATGTTAATTATAACATATGCATCTCAGCCAACTGACGGTGGCAATTAATACAGCATTAACAACGCCACGTAGCGCCCCCCCCCCCACGCTCATACACAAAGCTACCTCTGATCTGCGACGAAGACAGACTGTGCACTTTAAAGGGCCCAAGTCAGTGTCCTTAAAGGCCTTCCAGACTCTAAAAATCAAACGATTCCCCGCCCCACAAACCCGGATCACACCTCTGTCCCCCCAGGCCCCCACCGCAGAGGTCCCCACCCAGGACCAAGCCAGCGCCGAGGGTCGTTGCGGGGCTGACTCCAGCGTCACTCGATAGGGCTGTCTGGGCAGCTCAGGCGGCATCCCCGGCGTCCCGGCGACGCCCGGCTCCCCAGGGCCCGCCATCCCGGGAAAGAAAGGCGAACTACATTACCCAGCAGGCCTGCCGCCGCCCTCTTCCCTTTCAAGTCCCTGCACGTGGCCGGAGGGGGAGGCGGGGCCTGGACGTCACTCTCCAACATTCTCTTTCCCTGTGTCAGAACAGGGATCGTTTTTTTTCCCTTCCTCTACTCCCTCCCCCCCCGCCCGCCCCTCCCTCCCTCTTTCCCTCCCCTCTCCCCTCCCCCCCTCCGCTGGGTCCGTGCGCCCGGGCGCCGGATCCCCCTCCGCAGCTGGGACGCGCCGAACTCGAGGCCGGAGTCGGCTCTCCGGAGCCTGGTCCCTCCCTTCCCTTTCCCGGTCCCCTTCCCCCACCCCCGACGAGGGTTTGGCGCGGCAGTCAGAGGAACCCCGAGGTGAGCATCCCTTGTCCACCCTCCTTGTTTCGTCGCCGCAGCTTGTAGATAGATTCGGGGACCCGGGAGGAGGGCTGCGCGACCGACGTGCGCGTGCTTACGGATAAATCCGGGAAAACCGCCCCAAACAATTAGCCGCCTTCCACTGCCCCCCCCTCCCCGCGCCTGCCTGGGCAGGCGGCTGGTCCGCACCCATCCACTGTCCCCTTCTCCTCCCTCCCCTTGGTAGGGGACGCCCTCCCCCTCCGAGCCCCCACGATCTCGCCCCCTCCATTCCCTGACCGGTTCCCCGCGCGGTGGGGAGCCGGGGTCCTGGAGCCCCCCCTTTGCGGGACGCGCGGCTGGAGCCCGGCCGGCGTTGGCGCGGCGCGTTGGAGCCGCTGTCACGGGTCGGGTTCCGACCCCGGCGGAGGAAGCAGGAGGGCGCGATCCCTCTGCTTTGTGTTCTGCAGCCCGCATTGGCTGCAGCGAACAGTTGCTCCCGTACCCGGCAAACTTGCAGCTGTTCTGAGCGCGCTCCGCCGAGGTAGGGGAGCGCGCGGCTCGTGTGGCGGGCGGCCTGGGGGACTGCGGGGCCGCCGCACTCGGGGAGCCGGGGGGACCCCGGGAGCGTGTCTCCACGCCGCCCCTCCCCGTCGCGGTGACGGATGGTGTCTGTGTGTGTGTGCGCGCGCGCCCGTCCCCGCGGGCTCGGGGACGTCTGTGGATGGCTGGCGTCTAGACAGGCAGTAGACCCCTCCCTCTGTCCCCGGGGGGAGGAGAGGAAACGGAATTGGTGGTCATTCCCGGTGGTGATACATTTGATCTTTCCCCACGGTTGTGATTCTGTAGGATTTCAAAAAAAAAAAATTCTTCCTGTGGCCGTGGTGTAATCGGGCCCCGGGAACGGATACGCCGGGAGGAACCGGGTTTGACAGGCTGTGTTGGAGGCGAGTGACTCGAGCGGTGGGACAACGAGCAGGTGACTGTCTCGGGCGCGGGTCGTGGAGGAGGGCGAGAGGGGGGCGGTGGTTGGATATGCGGCGGAGTTCCGTGCCCCCACCCCCAGGGCCGCGTGCCGGTGCCTGGAGGAGACCGGAGGAGGCGTCCTCGGGACGGCTGAGCTCATTTCTCTCGGTGGATTTCAAATTAGATAATCCCGGGTCTCTCCAAGCCCCTGGTCTGGGTGGCGCGGCTCGGGTTTCGCGCAGTTCGCAGGGTTGGGGATGGGGGTGTGTGAACAGAGAAAGGGGGCGCGGCGTGTAGAGGGGAGGGCGCGGCGCCGCGCGTGCGTCTCCGCTGGGAGAAGGGAGGCGTCGCCTCCCCGCCCCGCTGTTTATGTGTGAGCACACTCCGCCCGGGGAGGGGGCAGGCCGTCGCAGAGTGGGGACCCTCCCCTCTCCGTGGGCCGGGATCCGGAGTGGGATCACCGGGTCGTCGGAGCTGGTCTTGTTGTCACGCGTGTCCGTGCGCGCTGGTGTTACTTGGAGACGGCATGGTGCGGCCGTGGCTGTGGGAGACCCGGGGGTCGTGTTGTGTTCCTCAGTTGTGCGAGTCCCCTACCATCGGTGCCTCCCCTCTCTCCGTGTTCCTGACATCGCGCAAAACCTAGAGGGCTGTCCGCCCGTCCCCGCGCTGGGCCGGCCCCCCGGGTGGGGAGGAGCCGCGGGCGGGAGCACGCGTGTCACCGCCCCCTCCCTCGGTGACCCTTGCACCAAGGCGCCGGTGGGTGCACCGGCCTGCGCGCGCCCGCCGCTGTCTGGGCAGGCGCTGGAAGAATCCGCGCTGTGCGTCCCCAACCCCTCCTCCAAGCTCCCCAATTCTTCAGTCTGGGGTGAGTGCGGGACCCAGATCTGCTTCTGCTCCTGCCCAGGCCCTGTCCACGGCTGCCCGTGGCCGGGCTCCGCCGTGCATCCCACGGGTCCAGCTTTCATTTCTTCGACCCGGGGATTATCCCCCTCACCCTCCCCGGCGAGAGGCCCTGGAGCTGCAAGCTAGGCGGCGTCTGGAGCCTTATGAGGGGAAAGTGGCGGAGCTCTAGCGCTGCCGCTGCCGCGCCGGGCTGGAGTAGAGGAAGGAGCCGCCCAGGGCGCCGGGGAGGGGCGCCCAGCCGGCCATGGTTCCTCCTGCCCAGCACCAGGGCTGGGCCAAAACCTCTGGAATCTCGGCTCGCCGCAGGCCTGGGCCCCACGCGGAAATTGTCTGGATTTCGACGATCCAATTCCTCAGGAACAGAAAGCCCTGAACAGACGCTAGTAGGTGGCCAGGACACTGTGGGCTGGTCCGAGGAACCCTCGAGTGTTTGAAACAGGATTTGATTTACGCATGGTTCATGTCATCATCGTGTGTCAAGTGTCTGTTCTGCATGAGGAAACTCGGAGGCAGTAATTTGTAATGCGTTCTGGTGTTCAGTGTCAGCTATGATGAGCAGATTGCTAGCATAATAACATGTTGGTACGACTTTACAGGGCGGCTCCCCTGAGCAGTCATTTATGAAGAGGATCTTGGGAGTCAGGGTCGATCAACCCCATTTTACAGATAAGCACACTGAGCCTCTGGAAGTGACAGTGGGAAGCCTGGGGCTTCCCAGTAGGCCAAGGGCAACTTTCTTCCCTCTGATTTCTCCAGGCAGCCCATAGCTTTATATTTCAGAAGTGACCACTTACTTGGGTAATTGGTAAATTTTGCTACTACTTGCTCTTACTCCAAATACTTTTGATTGAAGACAGGAAGTGATGTCACTCAGCTAATGACTTGCTGTTAGCGAATTCCAGTCACTCATTTACATATCTTTTTTTTTGGGGGGGGGTCTGGTCCTGGGGCCTGAACTCTGGGCCTGAGCACTGTCTCTCAGCTCTTCAGC